CTCGCCCTCGCGCGTCCACACGGCCGTCAGCACGCGCAGCGCCACGGTGCGCACGCCCAGCGACGACCGCGACGACGACTGCGACAGCAGCGCGCCGTTGAGCGTCTTGAGCACCGCTTCGACGGGGACGGCGTGCGCTACCGCCACCGTCGTCTTGACGAGCATCGACGACACCGTATCCAGCGGCAGCTGCAGCGTCAGCGACGTCGAAGCGGCGCCGGTCGCGCCACCGCCACCGCCACCGCCGCGCTTCCGGCCCGAGCCCGCGCTCGGCCCATCGACCAGCGACGCCTGCGACAGCAGCGCCGGAATCACCTTTTGCGCCCGCGACGCCGTCCAGAACGATCCCTCGTCGTACCGCGCGCTCTTCTGCACCGACAGCACCAGCGCCGTCCACAGCGCACGCGCATCGTCGCCCTCGCCGCGCGGCCTGCCACCGGCACCGCCTCCGATGCGGCCGCGGCCAAAGTGCTGCAGCATCTCGACCGAGTGGTCGAGCAGCACCGAATAGTAGCCCGACACCAGCCCGCGCAGCTGGTCCGACAGCGCGTTGAACGTCTTGTACAGCACCACCTGCCGCGCCAGCAGCGCCGCGTCGCCCGGCGCCGTATCGTCGTCGACCAGGTCCAGCACCGCCCAGTCAAACAGGCGCAGGAACAGCGGCCGGAAGCTGCTCTCGTTGAGCTTGAGCACCATCCGCAGCAGCGCCTGGATCGCGTGCTCCTCGATCGCACCCACATCGACGTCGGCGGCGGCGGCCGCGGCGGCGTCGTCCACGCCACCAGCGCCAGCCCGGACCGCCTTCTGCAGGCGGCGCAGGTCAAACGCGCGCAGCATGAAGCGGAAGACGGACTTGTACGTCTGCGACACGGCCGCCCGGTCCGTCTGGCGCAGCGCCCGGCTGAGGAAGTCGAACAGCGCCACCAGCCGCACCGACTTGGTCGTAGCGTCGCCGTCGCCGGCGAGGGTCTGTTCCCAGATCTTGAAGACGGCGTCAAACAGGCTCTGGGCGGGCGTGCGCTTGATGAGCGCCGAGAGGAGCGCGTTGAGCGAGCGCTCGCTCGCCGTGCTGGAGCCGCTCTGGCTCGCCATGGCCTCCTTGAGCTCGGGCGAGATCGAGGCGCGCACAATGTCCGACACGTAGCCCGTCATAAACGTGGGCACGCTGCCAAACAGGCCCGTCAGCGTGTCGAGCGCGCCCGTGCGCAGCGACGCCGCCTGGCCGCTGCCCGTCGAGATCGAGGTCGCGGCGGCGGAGCCGGTGTCGGTATCGGCAGCGTCGGCCGAGGCAGCAGCGGCAGCAGAAACCGACGCAGCCACCGTCGAGAGGCAGAACGGCACCAGCTTGGCCAGGTGCGGGATGAGGCGCGGGCCAAGCCGGTCGGCCAGTCGCCGCGTGATGGAGAACACGGTGATGCGCGCCGGGGCAGGAACGCCGTCGGTCGACCGTCCCACCGAGACCAGGTCCGGCAGCGTCGAGGCGAGCGCGCCGTGCTCCGAGACCAGCGCCGAGGCGCTGATGGCCTTGATGGCGTCGAGCGCGGCCTGGCGCAGCGCATCCGAGACGCCGGCGGTGCGAAGCACGTCGAGGGCGGCGGCCACCACGTCCGACGTGTAGGCCGAGACGGCCTTGCGGTCGTCGGAGTCGGCGCCGAGCGCGGCCATGCGCGAGGCGAGGAGCGCAAAGCCGCTGGCCCGGCTGGCCGCCACTGCCGCCGCGGTGCCCTCCTGGCCGTCGCCCGCCTTGATGAGCAAGGCGACGACGTTCATCACGTTGACGATGGGCACGTACGGCATCGCCGCATGGAGCGCCTCGCGGGCCACCGAGTTGATGGCGGCGTTGTCGAGCGAGTGCGGGTCGGCCGCGGCGACGGCGGAGCGCACAAAGTCCTCGAAGCGGACGCCGGCGGCACGGGCGGCTTCGGCGCCGCTGAGCGAGGCCGACTGGGCCGAAAACACGCGCGAGTCGAGCACCTGCCGGACAAAGAGGACCAGCGCCTGGATCTGGCGGATGGGCTCGGCGTGCCGGTCGATGTGCTCCTTGTCGGTGCGGCCGGCGCGGTCGAGGAAGACGTGCTCGCCGAGCGCCTCGGGGTCGGCCTCGAGGCGGTGGGTCCAAATCCGGGCCACCTCGCGCCAGATCTGGTTGAGCGCCTGCAGCTGGACCAGCACCGGCTGGGCCTGGATCACGGCGAGCGGCAGCTGCATCGTCTGCTCGACGTCCTGGCGCGGCTGCTTGGCGATCTTGAAGGCGGAGCGGTCGACGAGGAGCATGCAGACGGCGGCGCCAAAGTCGTCGGCGCCCAGGATCTCGACGAGCAGCTTGAAGAAGACCTGTCGGCGGTGCTTGGGCACATAGTGGGCGGCGTCGGTGAAGACGCGGACAAAGCCGCGCGCGTCGCGCAGCAGCGCAAAGTGGCGCTGCGCCTGCGCCTCGGCATCGCCCGCGCCTGCCTCGACGTCGACGTCGATGTCGGCTCCGCCCACGGCCGCCTGGCGACGCTTGAGCGAGGCGACGAGCGCGGGGACGATGCTCTTGAGCGTCTTTTCGACCACCGTGTAGCTGAAGGCGTCGTCGCGCTGAAGCACCGTGGATCCGACAAACGTAAAGATGGGCATGACGTTGTGCAGCACGGGCTCGGGCGCAATGGTGGCGACGCGCGAGAGGAGGAGCAGCGCGTGCTGGAACGTCTGCGGGTTGTGCGACGCCTTGATGGCGCCGACGATGGTGTCGGCGCGCAGGCTCTGCACAATGTCGGCGGGCGCCGAGTCGGCGTCGAGGCCGGCGACGAGGTTGGCCAGGCACGACATGGCGAGCTGCAGCAGGTACTCGGCGTTGACGGCGAGGCTGGCGTGGAGCTCGACGGCGACGCGGAGCACCTCGAACAGCTCCGACACGAGCGCGGCCGAGCGCGCCAGCCGCTTGCCCGACGCCGCCTCGAGCAGCACCACGAGCACGGCGGCGGCGCGGCGCACCGTCTCGTCGGCGCCGAGCGAGGTGCGCGCGCGCTTGGCCTCGGGCGCCTCGAGCGCCTTGGCCGTCAGCGTGTCGCGCAGCTCGGCCAGCACCGAAACCAGGATGGCGGCGTCGACGTCGAGGTCGCGCAGGCACGCCTGAGCCTCGGGCGTGGCGGG